AGAGAACAGTCTATGACTTGGGTGACTGGAGTTTGACAATTTTTTGGGCCTTCCTCTGACACCGCCTAGTATATAGGTCCTGGATGGCAGGAAGCTTGGCCCCAGTGATGTACTGGGCCGTACGCACTACCCTCTGTAGCGCCATATGGTCGGATGCCGAGCAGTTGCCATACCAGGCAGTGATACAACCAGGAAGGATGCTCTCGATGGTGCAGCTGTATAACTTTTTGAGGATCTGGGGACCCATGCCAAATCTTTTCAGTCTCCTGAGGGGGAATAGGCATTGTCATGCCCTCTTCACGATTGTCTTGGTGTGTTTGGACCATGATAGTTTGTTGGTGATATGGACACCAAGGAACTTGAAACTCTCGACTCGCTCCACTACAGCCTGGTCGATGTGAATGGGAGTGTGTTCGGCCCTCCTTTTCCTGTAGTCCATGATCAGCTCCTTTGTCTTGCTCACGTTGAGGGAGAGGTTGTCATCCTGGCACCACACTGCCAGGTCTCTGACCTCCTCCCTATAGGCTGTCTCATTGTTGTTGGTGATCAGGCCTACCACTGTTGTGTCATCAGCAAACTTAATGATGGTGTTGGAGTCATGCTTGGCCACGCAGTTGTGGGTGAACAGGGCGTACAGGAGGGGACTAAGCACGCACCCCTGAGGGGCCCCAGTGTTGAGGATCAGCATGGCAGATGTGTTGTTACCTACCCTTACCACCTGGGGGTTGCCTGTCAGGAAGTCCAGGATTCAGTTGCAGAGGGAGGTGTTTAGTCCCAGGGTCCTTAGCTTAGTGATGAGCTTTGTGGGCACTATGGTGTTGAACGCTGAGCTGCAGTCAGTGAACAGCATTCTCACATAGGTGTTCCTTTTGTCCAGGTGGGAAAGGGCAGTGTGGAGTGCGATTGAGATTGCGTCATCTGTGGATCTATTGGCGTGGTATGCAAATTGGAGTGGGTCTAGGGTTTCCGGGATGATGGTGTTGATGTGAGCCATGACCAGCCTTTCACACTTCTTCAATGCATAGGACCATTCTAAATCCCATTCATAAGTATTAGGCTATTTTAGAATAGTTTCTACGCAATATTGATAAATGAGCCCCCTGGACCTGAGCCCAGTTATGACAACATCCCTCAATCCCTAGACTATTAATTGAACCTGTCGCCACTAATAACACCATGTAGGCTGCGTCTGCCAAGATGTCAGATAGTGAGATTGGTTCAGGCCTTAGCCACGGGCCGGCGCCCCATATGGTTTGTAATTTATCATGAGTTATACCCTACAGCAGCTCAACCATATTGTTCCATCTGAACATTAGTGGACACGCAGCGACCATATTGGCAACGCCCCTGGGTAAAGTTCCTATAAACCATCAACACTAGTCCATTAGGTGGCATCTGAATCACTGTCTGTCTGGCGAATGAGCACACCCTGCCTGGCAGCACTGATGCTACTTAGCACTGTGAGCCATGTTGAACCCACTCACCCATTTCTCTGAACTTGCTGGAACGGGCAACAGGAAGGCTAAGAAAAAATAAAACGTTTTAAAGAAAAATGTTCTTGACAATTATCAAGAATGTTTAATTAAACGGCAATTCGGGTAATTTGCTAACATGTAAGTTGTATGACTAATAGGCTACGTGCTTCCATCCCCCCCATAGCTTGTTCAGAGATAGTTTTCCCTCCACCATCTGGCTATTGAGATAAGCTGCTGGGCATCGGCTTGATGGGCGCCTGCCCTGTCTAATATTGAAGCAGTACCAGACCAGTGGTTTTCACACAAACATGCTTATGGACCAGCCAAGGTCAGAGGCAGAGGCCCCGGGCCTATGAGGAATTAATTTAATGAATTAACTTGACTGTAAATATCACAACTCAAACTGATAGCACTGTCTTTGCATTAAGATTTGCACTTGAATCACGCCACCACTTGATATTCGAGATGAATAGGCCTACACTCTTTTTTTTTTGTATCATGCACTTTACAAAATAGGCTAGTATGCAACTCATGGCATCTTTCCATGCACTGATGGATTTGTTTTACTCACGCTTACATTTAGGCCTAAGCATGGTGACTTGACAGCATGCCAAAAAGTGCCCATTGTCAAAATAAGTGTTCTGGACTATATGGTCCTGTGGTGTTTAGCACGTAGCCTGTTTCGTCTCACTACTGTATATTTGGGATGTTTTAAACTTTACATCTACACCCCAATGTAAACATCTAAAATAGTGTTACATCACCCTCATTTATACCAGCGACACCAGTTTCCAAATACCCGTCAACAAGGCGCTGTCCACTCACGTGGTGCTGAAACGGCCACCGGCAGCACTGGAGTTTCATGACACTTTTGTGATCACGCTCTGTAATATTAACCATTTTGTAAATATCCAACTTGTCTTACCAGCTGCTGAAGCCTACATCTCCAGTTTTTTGTAGATAGGGGTAATTTCCATCGAGTATAGATAGTCTAATGTCATTCTGAATGCCATCATGCACCAATACAAATACTGCAAACTGAGTTCTAACATTTAACGACATCTATATTTAATCAAGGAATCAACCGAAAGACCAAATGGCCTATTCACAGAGCAACGTGAGTGAGCACTTCAGAATGACAGCTGCGCCTTCACAACAAAGGTAATTTGCTATGCAGGTCCGTCCATTCAATTCATTTCCTCCACACACCCGTCAGAACAGAGTGTAATTATCGGCTGCCCATTTCCCTCTCCCCCGGGAGTCTGTTTTTCCTCCCTTTCACTGCTCAGTTGTCAGTCCCGTGCTCCCTCTGGCCCATCACGCTACATCAAATTATCCACGCGTTGCCCCTTATCTTCCGCCACATCCTCGCCAGTGTCGAGCTCGAGCTGGGGGATCGGTTGAGTGATGTCCAGCATACCTGATGTTTAACTAACACTATGAATCAGTTAAGGAAATAACCAGTTAATAAACCCCACACAAGCTCTGCAGAATAAGTGACTCCAGAGGAGATGCACAAGGAACAATGGGGTTCCACTTTGAGTGAGTGGGAGGACATTTTCTTTGTTGCACTAGGTTGATACGCTCTGAAAATGGAGCCTTTTATATCTATAAGACATTGAACTGAATGTCTCATCATCGCATATGGCACAACGAAGCGTATGTGAATCTCAGTCTGTCTCAGACAACAGCACCTATGATTATTCTCCAGGTTGGCAATTATAATATAGGCATACACACGGAGGTTTGCGCACCATTATAAGGGCTCAACTCAACAGCCATGATGCGGATGGTACCTCAAAAAATCACATTGATTGGACCCCTGTCAAGTCAAGGGGTCCCCCGCTGTGTGTGCGCGCGCGTGTGCACCTGTGCGCATGCCAAGTCCTCCTCAACAGTGTGCGCTGTTGATCTTCGCCCTCAGAGCTTGGCAGCAATTTGGGCAACCTTTGTAACACAACTTGTAATCACATTTGTTTGTCCAGGGGAGAGAGCAACAAACGCAACAAATGCTGGACCAGACAGGTTGGTATTTATTATTCAGTTGAGGGGGCTCTGGCCCCGCCCTGAGTGGGAGGACCAGGAGGACAGTGTGCAGCCGTAGACATAATTAATTGCCTTACTGAAACAAAGCCCATGTCGGGATGCTCCTGCAATCAATTAAATAGATCTATCAAACCAATTGTGTTGCCTATTTGTTGCGACATTGTATACATTTTGATGTAAAGTGTCACAATAATGAAAGGTAGGGCCATAGGAATAAACTATTTGGGGTAATGTAAAGAGAATGAAAATTACCCAAGAAGTCATAATAACACGTGCATTGTTTTCTGTTCTAAGCCTATAGCCTAACGCAGAATTGGTTCCTCAATGCAATGCTAAATGGCATAAACATGAAAGAGACTGCATGGTTGGAGGTCGGTTCAAAAATATAATTGACACAGCACCAGAATAGCCTATATGCTAAAGTGAAATGAATAATTCACGCCCCACAAATTGATGACAGACTGAGATTGAGACGATGATAGAGGAGTAATCAGCATAAATTCGGATGTAAAATCAGAGTGGGGAGACTATGTCTGGTCTGGTTGCAGCCAATGAGCAGGTGGTGTTTGGGTGTGATGAATAGAGAGAGGAGAGAGGGTGATTCTCCCTCCTTCACCATGTGATGACTGCCAGAGTGACTGTATCACCGGAGCGATGTTTTTTTGTCACTTTCAACAGCAACAAAACGGCAACAGCAGCACTGACGTACAGCAACCGCAAAAAAATCCCGGAGCACTACCGCGCTCAGAACAACGTGACTTGGATTTGGTCATACAATATTGGGACCAAAACACACAGAATGGAAATAGACAGCATGCTGGATGGAGTGAGGATGTCGACGGAATATGACGCCTTGATTCTTTGACTGTAATTTCTAGCAGTCGGTGACAGCATCTTTCTGATTCTGAATTGCAATGCATTCGGTAAGGAGAGTTATGACAAGAGTTGCTGCAGGGTGCCGCATTGCCTGACCGCTTGATGGTAGCATAGTGTAATCCTTTTATGGTAATTTTAATGTTAGAGTATTTTGGGTGGGGATGGATGATAACGGTTGTCTCACAATTGTGTGTTTAGGCTTCCACCATAGCCAGGTTAGAGATGCAATTGGTAGCTGAACATAGGCTATTCATAGACCTATTTGGGAAGTCAGCAACAGCCAGTATTGCGACTGATTTGAGAGCTATAAATGTCAAAATATGAAAAGAAAGTTGGAAACAGAAGTCAAATGTTAGATAGGTACAGGTGGAATCATAATGGCGCTGTCCAAAAAGTGAATACAGCCTATGTTGCACCTTCTATCATAGGCCTACTCAGGAGGACCCAGGACGATATCTGAAGTCAGGCTTTGATTTTAGGGAACTGATTGAGAGGGTCCAATAGGCCTATACGTGACGCATTCATTGTTGGAGGTTTTGGCTCCTTCGACGGTAATATTTTACCTACCATTCAATATTGGCCGTGGACGTTGAAGCAAGGACGATGGCTCACTTACAAGCGGGCTTGTCCCCAGAAACCCTGGAGAAAGCCAAGGTGGAGTTAAAGGAGAACCCCGAAACTCTACATCAGGACATTCAGGAGGTGAGGGACATGATCATCACCCGCCCAGACATTGGCTTTCTTAGGACAGAAGATGCTTTCATCTTGCGCTTTCTCAGAGCGCGGAAATTTAACCATTTCGAGTCGTTTCGCCTCTTGGCCCAGTATTTTGAATATCGTCAGCAAAATCTGGATATGTTTAAAAACCTCAAAGCAACCGACCCGGGAATCAAGCAAGCCCTCAAAGACGGATTTCCGGGGGTGCTGACCAACTTGGACAGATATGGCAGGAAAATACTGATTCTCTTTGCTGCTAACTGGGACCAGAGCAGGTAATGTCCGTCTGATATTTGGGAGCTGTCCTTTCAGAACTACTGTAATGCCACTTGACAGTTTGCTTGCAGTCGACCCTCTATATATTTTTCACAAATCTGTGGCATTGGCTTTGTTGTAGCCTAGCCTCATGAATTTAACCAAAACATAAGCCCCATCAATTGAATTATTAACCCCAAGGCAAGCCCTGTCAGTGTCTCATGGATGTAGGCCAGGGAATGGGCCTAGACTAGGCTGCACATGTCAGTAACAATGCTATCACCTCACTAGTGAATGATGAATGTAAGGATAAGAGTGTCTGCTAAATGACTAAAATGTAAATGTAAATGTAAGTGTCGAATCAGATATAATCAAATTACGTTTCACCACATTATTTTATTGCAGAGATTTGAGTTTGTGATCTTTTTACTTTAGGGACCCACTCATGTGATCTCCATAGTCACAATGACAACACATTAGTAATTTCACACAATAGCAGGGTGTGAAAAACACACAAAAGGCCATCAGCACTCATACAAGTCAAGTTGTCTCCGCAATCTGGATCTCTGTGTATTACTCTCCTGAATTAAAAGGTTAAAGAGTCACATTCTGTATTTACTGCCAAACAAGGGTATGCTGGTGACATTTCATTTTTACAGTTAACTATTTAACTGGGATTACAGTACTAGAATAGTCTCCTAATGCTTTTGCTCACCTCTATAGGTATACATTTGTGGATATACTGCGATCTATTCTGTTGTCGCTGGAGTCCATGATAGAAGATCCAGAGCTACAGGTGAATGGATTTGTCCTAATCATCGACTGGAGCAACTTCACGTTTAAGCAAGCCTCCAAACTAACACCGAGTATGCTGAGACTGGCCATAGAAGGTTTACAGGTAATAGTCTCAACATTCTTCTAATCCTTCTATTAGCTACTTTTGACACTTGACTCCATTTACTGAGATTACACAGATTACTCCTAATTTAGATGGGTTTGCTACATTTAATCATTTTAGTCAAGCCTAAAACAAAAAAGTCCTTTGGGGATTTTTAATACACCAGACACTTGTCAGTCTTGCAGTGTTGAAGTGCAGATCTTCATTGTTGTTATGGTCAGTTATAGAAATATAGCACTACTGCTACTAGTTTATATGGGGTGAACATTAGCGACAAGCTATATTTCAACTGCTTACCACACATGGTCCTGCACATCTGGGATGCTTGCTGGAGTAGTGGGACAAGTCCCTGAATCTTCATGAGAAACTGTTTCTGACCAAATATCTTATCATTCTCTTGGTGATGTGACAAATTGTTCAAATGTAAAAGCACATCCACTCAATAATCACTCCTCTGTACTCTCAAAAATGACTTTACAATCAAAGACTTGCATAAGAAATGAATAATGACATTGCCATTTTGATTACTGGTGGTGTGGGACTATGATTGTAATCTTCAGCAGGTGATGCAGAGACTCAAATTTGAACAACATTCCTTTGACCCTGTTCAATCATTTCTAATGGAATACAAAAAGACAAGGTCTCTGTCCAAGTGCATCCTTTGGGAGGTGGCAAACCAAAATATAAATATGATGTATAGCCAATAGCCTAATAACAAAATGCATACAGAAATTATTCTCAATGTCCTTGCTAATTAATTTTTTGTCATTTAGCAGACACTCTTATCCAGAGCGACTTACAGGAGCAATTAGGGTTAAGTGCCTTGCTCAAGGGCACAGACAGATTTTTCACATAGTCGGTTCTGGGATTCGAACCAGCAACCTTTCGTTTATTGGCTCAACGCTCTTAACCGCTAGGCTATCTGCCGCAAATTCCTCTGTAGTCCATCATTCAAATTTCAATGTATAGCTGTGTAGCCATGTACTATGTAGCCATGTAGAGCATAGGCAGTTATCACCAGAAATGTTTGTTGACTTAATATCAATGGAGGACCATGATGAGGCCGTTGCACATTCCACTGCCTCTCCAGACACAGATTAGACTGTGAGTAATTGATCACTGCTATTAGTATCTCAGCCTCCCAATGTGCCGCTAGCAAATCGTGTGGGAACACTGTTGTCATCCTTTGAACAGAAAACAAAATAAAACCCAACAGAAACATTGTACTAACTAATGGAGTCAACCACAGAATCAACAGTTACTGGCTAAATGTTTCTCCCTGTCTGAGTCGGAGAGCTCCAACTGAAACCTATTTCAATCTGAGCAGGTTTATATCTACAGTACATAATATATGTTTGTCAGCTCTACAATAGTAGATACTTCATAAGGTATGTATGCTATTTATTACATGGTATGGTATCCTCCACTACTGATTGTCCACCTCAGACACAAAATGTGTTGTCCAGTGCCTGACCCCTCTCCTCATAATGCTTCTCTCCAGTGTAATGGATAGTGGTGACATCCTATCTGTGGGCCCGCTTGACACTGAGCACTGAGAGCATCTCAGGGAGTTGTGGCCCTCTGGTGGGTTTTGTAATGACATTGAGGGGCTCTTGTGTGCCAGCACGCCTCATGATTCACTATGCCTGTCATGAAGGGCCTGAGCTGCTAAAGAAATCACACACAAAGAAAAGCACATTCAAGACATCAACATTAGGTTTTCATCCTCAGCTAAGGTTAACACTTGTTGCCTCTATGGGTATAGATTTTTGATATTGCCAAGACTTCAAGATGTTCTTTTTTTTGTATTATATTGTGAAGGACATGTTATAGCTAATGATCTATCCATATTACATATCACTTGTACTTGTATCAGGTGCAGCTCACTGTTTGCTGCCCACCAGTGTGTGTGTGTGAGTGTGTGTGTGTGTGTGTGTGTGTGTGTGTGTGTGTGTGTGTATGTGTGTGTCTTCAGGATCTCGGTTCAGCTTCTTTATAATTTCCTGTCAGTACATTTGTTAATGCACGTGGGTGGTATGTTCAGAATAACGTGATTAATTTCAACATTACAGTCAACAATGCAAAACATTTTTTTACACTACCACTGGCAACAATGAAAACACTGCTTGCAGAATTTTTAAGAGATTATGGAAGATTCTGAATCTTAACAGAAAAATGTAAATTCACAGAAAATCTGAACATACCCCATAAGGATATTTCAAAACGCATCTCCAACTGTGTCTGCTAAATGACGAAAATGTAAATGTCAATGTGTAATAATTTAGTTTCCTTTTCCCAAACTGACAGTCACATCTATTGTTGTTGGAATAGCTAATACACAGAGCACAAACTCTAGTACAGATTTCATTGTGTATTGGAAAACAAAGAGAAAGAAATTAAGACATGTTTAGAGTGTGGGTATTCTTGGCAAATCAATACCAAGAAAAACAAATGCTTGGAATGAGTAGAACACTCCATGCTGGCCCTGCTTTCCCCAAGCTATGCTTTGTTATCTTAGAGCCTCTTCCTCTCTCTCTCTCTCTCTCTCTCTCTCTCTCTCTCTCTCTCTCTCTCTCTCTCTCTCTCTCTCTCTCTCTCTCTCTCTCTCTCTCTCTCTCTCTCTCTCTCAATTCAAAGGGCTCTCTCTCTCTCTCTGTCTGTCTTAGCCATGCCTTTTGTCCCTCTTAGTCTAGAGAAATAACCTGTGTTCAGCAGCCAATCACAAAAGGCCAGTCTTCCCCATCCCATCCCACACTGAGTTTCCGTGGCAACCTGTCCAACCGCCATGCTATGTACTCTCCAGATGGACTGCTAGATGAGAGAAACACACTTCTGCCATTCTACCCTCATTGTGGGTGATGATGTGTGCATTGTTTCTGTGGGTTTAAGACAGAGTGGGGGAGAAATATTTTACATTACCATAATTCTGCAGATGTAGGGCTGTAGTCAGTCCCTCTCTCAATTTGGTATTTTTCTCCATAATTATGTAATGTGGTGCAATGGTGCTAATTTACATTTTAAAAGGTGACATCTTAAAACCCATTTAGCCGGGCTCAATCAATCAGTTATATATGATTAATCAATTCTATATGAGTGCAACACATTTTTCAAATGCTCTTACATTTTTGCATTTGAGTCATTTAGCAGACGCTCTTATACAAAGCAACTTACAAGAGCAATTAGGGTTAAGTGCCTTGCTCAAGGGCACATCAACAGATTTTTCACCTAGTCGGCTCTGGGATTTGCACCAGTAACTTTTCGGTTACTGGCCCAACGCTCTTAACCACTAGGCTACCTGCCGCCGAATCCTCATCACTATTAATAATGATAGTGGTAGATTGTCAGTGAAATAATTGGAACTGCGAGAGGTTCATGCTTGGAGTTATTTTTAGAGCTCATTTTTGTGAGCACTCTATAAAGTATTCATATTGCATTGCCAATTTTTCTAGTTGTATAGTGTTAAAAATATACATTTTGTACATTCACAAGTGAATGTGTTTTTTCCCCCTGCGTATGGCTAATATACTTGTTTCAGTAGCAGCAGATACGGCTGCGTTGTGCTTTGAGGACAGTGGCTGTAGCTACAGTATACAGTATATGCTGTTCTGTCTGAGGCTTGGGATAAGGAAAGTCTACTTTTATGAAGAGGTGTAGTATGAATAGGATTTATGGTTTTATGCTTGAGAATGAAAGTACTAGATAATTTGATGGAATATTTTGTTTACCAGATTTGTTATTTTTGAGTTAACTAGGACTTTGCCTGAGCTTGGTATGCCCTTGAGAGTGGTTCAATTGATTGAAAGTCTTTTCCCTTTGTTATCTAACATCTAATCCCTCAGATTGTATATCTATTAGCTGTCCTGTCAGTCTCTCACCTATCAATACTCTTCTACATACTGTAGCAACACATTGTATATACACTACATAACCAAAAGTATGTGGACACCTGCTCGTCGAACATCTCACTCTAAAATCCTGTGCATTAATATGGAGTTGGTCCCCCCTTTGCTGCTACACCAGCCTCCACTCTTCTGGGAAGGCTTTCCACTAGATGTTGGAACATTGCTGCGGGGACTTCCATTAAGCCACAAGAACATTAGTGAGGTTGGGCACTGATGTTGGGCGATTATGCCTGGCTCGCAGTCGGCGTTCCAATTCATTCCAAAGGTGTTCGATGGGGTTGAGGTCAGGGCTCTGTGCAGGCCAGTCAAGTTATTCCACACCAATCTCGACAAACCATTTCTGTATGGACCTTGCTTTGAGCATGGGGGAATTGTCATGCTGAAACAGGAAAGGGCCTTCCCCAAACTGTTGCCACAAAGTTAGAAGTACAGAATCATCTTGAATGTCATTGCATGCTGTAGCGTTAAAATTTCCCTTCACTGGAACTAAGGGGACTAGCTCGAACCATGAAAAACAGCCCCAGACCATTATTACTCCTCCACCAAACTTTACAGTTGGCACTATGCATTTGGGCAGGCAGCGTTCCCCTGGCATCTGCCAAACCAAGATTTGTCCGTCGAACTGCCAGATGGTGAAGCGTGATTCATCACTCCAGAGAACGTGTTTCCACTGCTCCAGAGTCCAATGGTGGCAAGCTTTACACAACTCCAGCCGAGGCTTGGCATTGTGCATGGTGATCTTAGGCTTGTGTGCGGCTGCTCGGCCAAGGAAACCCATTTCATGAAGCTCCCGATGAATAGTTATTGTGCTGATGTTGCTTCCAGAGGCAATTTGGAACTCAGTAGTGAGTGTTGCGACTGAGGATAGATGATTTTTATGCGCTACACGCTTCAGCACTCGGCGGTCCCGTTCTGTGAGCTTGTGTGGCCTACCACTTCGCGGCTAAGCCGTTGTTGCTCCTAGAAGTTTCCACTTCACAATAACAGCACTTACAGTTAAACGGGGCAGCTCTAGCAGGGCAGAAATTTGATGAACTGACTTGTTGGAAAGGTGGCATCCTATGACGGTGCCATGTTGAAAGTCACTGAGCACTTCAGTAAAACCATTCTACTGCCAATGTT